CCAGCATTCCTTCCTTCAGGAACTTTCCCTGACTGACCCTGTTCTGATTTGGCTCCTGGGTTCCCATAGCCCCCTGGTCTACCATGAAATTCCTTGAGGACAGGGATGCAACTTGCTCACCATGTTGCCCAGTTCTAGCACACAGTGGGTGCTCAATTAACAGATGTAATGTAGGAGAGGGAAAGTGTGTATCAAAAGTCCTGACTATAAAGTTTTATTTTTCTCAAATAACAAGAAAGCAGGCAGCTGCTGGCAAGGGCTCGGCAGCTCAACAACGTCTCCGCATTTGCTTTGGCTTTTCCTCATGGTCACAAGGTGGCCACTGTTGCTCCTGCCATCACATTCATGTTCAAGGAAGGAAGGAGAGGCAAGACACATCACCAGCACTGTTGGCTTCTTTTGTCAGGAGAAGAAAAACCCTTCCCAGAACCCCAGCCAACTTCAGCTACAAGGGAGGCTGACAAAACAAGTATCTAACTGGAGCTGGAAGAACAAAATTGCAGTTTCATTAGCAAGAAAGAAGGGCAGGGGTGCTGGGGGAAGGAGGATTAAGGGAGTAGGGTAAGGAGGGTGGGGATTGGCTAGGCAACTAGCACAGGGCTTCATTAAGGAGGTGGCATTTGAGCTGTGCCTTCAAGGTCAGATACAATTTTGACAATAAGAAAGAATGGCCTAGGGGCGCCTGGGGGGCTCAGTCGTTAAGCGTCTGCCTTCCGCTCGGGTCATGATCTCAGGGTCCTGGGATTGAGCCCCGCATTGGGCTCCCTGCTCAGCAGGAAGCCTTTTTCTCCCTCTCCCACTCCCCCTGCTTGTGTTCCCTTTCTCACTGTGTCTCTCTCTATCAAATAAATAAATAAAATCTTAAAAAAAAAAATAAAGAATGGTCTAGGTCTGGAGGCCTGAAATCATCTCCTCTGGCATTTATTCCACACCTGCTCTATACCAAGCATTGTTCTAAGTGCTTTACATGTTTTAATACATGCCATTTTAACAACACTATGAGATAAGCACTATTATTGTCCCCATATTACAGATGAGGAAACTGAGACAGCAAGAGGTTAAGTAATTTGCTCAAGATCCCACAACCAGGAGTGTTAGATAGGATCCAAGCCTAGATGGTCCACCTCTGAGGCACAAGGAAGGCTATTACCTTGCCAAGGTCTTGGTAGATTAAGAGTAGATTCTGTACCAAAAGCAAACAAACAAACATACAAAAAACCCAAACTCATAGATACAGAGAATGGATTGGTGGTTGCCAGAGGTCGGGGTGGGGGATGGCCAAAATGGGCAGTCAAAAGGTACAAACTTCCAGTAATAAAAGAAATAAGTCATGGGAATGTAATGTACAACATGGTGACTATAGTTACTAATATGGTATTGCAGGGGGTGCCTGGGTGGCTCAGTCAGTTAAATGTCCAACTCTTGGTTTTGGCTGGGGTCATGATCTCAGGGTCGTGGAATTGAGCCCTGTGCAGGGCTCCGGGCTCAGCGTGGAGTCTGCTGGAGATTCTCTCTCTCTCCCTTTGCTTCTGCCCCTTCCCCTGCTCACGCATGTGCACATGCACGCATTCTCTCTAAAATAAATAAATAAGGTTTTTTTTTTTTTTAAGATTTTATTTATTTATTTGACAGAGAGAGACCAGCAAGAGAGGGAACACAAGCAGGGGAAGTGGGAGAGGGAGAAGCAGGCTTCCCGCTGAGCAGGGAGCCCAATGTGGGGCTCGATCCCAGGACCCTGGGATCATGACCTGAGCCGAAGGTAGATGCTTAACGACTGAGCCACCCAGGCGCCCCATAAATAAGTATTTTTATTTATTTAATTTTGAGAGAGAGAGAGAGAGAGAGCATGAGTGGGGGGAAGGGGCAGAGAGAGAAACAGACTCCCCCCTGAGCAGGGAGCTTGATGTGGGACTCAATCCCAGGACCCTGGGATCATTACCTGAGCCAAAGGCAGATGCTTAACTGACTGAGCCACCATTGCCCAATAAATAAATCTTTAAAAATAATAATAATAAGGTATTCCATATTTGAAAAGTTGCTAAAAGAATAGATCTTAAAAGTTCTCATCATAAGAAAAAGAATTTGTAACTACATAGGGGAACAGGTGGGAACTAGACTTATTGTGATCATTTCACAATGTAGAGAAATATTGAATCCTTATGTTACACACCTGAAACAAATATAATATTATATGCCAATTACATCGCAATAAAAAATTTTAATACAATTAAATTTTTGTAAAAAGAGTAGATTCTCTAGACCAGTGGTTCTCAAGTAGGGGTGTTTTTCGCCCCCAGGGGACATTTGGTAATGTCTGGAGACATTTTTGATCGTCACAAGTGGCTGGGGGATGCCACTGGCATTGAGTGGGAGGCTTGACACCTCACAATGCATACAATGGCAAAGAGTCATTGGTCCCAAATGCCAGGAGTGTTGCAGTTGAGAACCCTAATCTAAACTAATCAGAGTAGTGAAGCTATTCCCTCTCCCAGTTGAGGACTTAGACTCAGAGCTGAGAGAAGAAATAGGGGAGACTTTTATTTTATTTATTTATTTTTAAAGATTTTATTTATTTATTTGAAAGAGAGAGAATGAGAGAGAGCACATGAGAGGGGGGAGGGTCAGAGGGAGAAGCAGACTCCCTGCCCAGCAGGGAGCCCGACGCGGGACTCGATCCCGGGACTCCAGGATCATGACCTGAGCCAAAGGCAGTCGCTCAACCAACTGAGCCACCCAGGCGCCCTAGGGGAGACTTTTAAATGAAGCCTGTGCAACTCAGTTATGTTGCTGTAACAAATAGACCAAATCACGGTGCGCAAATAAGAGAGAGCACGTAGCTGATCAGAAGCAGGTTCAGGTGGTCAGGCAGCTCTGTGCGTGAGGCCTGGCAAGACTTAAATTTCCTTTAGACTTCTTGCTCAGGAATTCCCTGGGTTATTAGCTTGTTTTGCATGATTGAGGTAGTTCACCGCCCCCACCCCACCCCGGACGAGTCTGGGAATCTGCCGCTCCAGCAAACACAAAAGGAGGAAAGAGGAAGTGGAAAAGCAAGCAGTTGATATGTCCAGAGCTGACACCAGGCTGTATCGCCTGTGAAAGCACATGGTTAAAGCTTTAGGAATTTTGGGGGCCAAAGATTGTTAAACCCAACCATATTAAATTATAGAAATGTACAATTAAATAAATTCTATTAAAAACAAAGTTAATATGTACTCAAAAGGTATCACTTCCTGATTTATTTTGCTACCTTCTGCTATTACCTAGGCACTTGAGATTTTCATACCTGGTTTATCTGTATGGTAGAAACAGCGCATGATGTGTTCTATGGCTCAGCCCTTCCCAACTTCTCACTCCACGACCTCACACTGGTAGCTTGAAATCAGCCACAGTGGGAGTGTTTACACCATAGAAATCAGTAAACTCTACAAATCTGAGCTCGATGGTTTGTTCTGTGGATTGTCTGCATTTTAGAAAGTGATCAAGAAAACACTAATAATGCAGATTGAACCTAAAAATTGCATTGCACCTGCAGCTACAGTTACATTGTGAGTAGCCGAAAAAGTTGAGAAAATACTCTTCCAGAATTTGAAAACTGATTCGATTCAGCATTGCTCATCTCACTGGCAAACTAGGACAAGAAATGCCTTAGTTGATTCACTTTTGTCTTATCCATTAAGGTGAAAGAAAACAGCAGCTAACGTTCACACTGGAAATACTCCGGTTCATCAATGATGTCAGCGACTTTTTTGCTGAATCTGGTAGTAATAAAAAAAGTATAGTAGTCTGATTTTGTGACCCTGTTATTGGTAATGGACTTACAAAAACTGATAATGAGTTTTGGGGTATATTAAACAGAATGTGGATTCTGGAGTGTCTCTGTAAAATAGGGATAATGAAATGTACCTTGCAGGGTTATTTTAAGAGTCAAATGAGACAATGTTTGGGGAAGTTTTGTTGTCTAGAAACTACAATTCAACTGTGAGGAGCCATGAATCCCAATGCCTACATGACTGGTTTGTGAGCAGGCTCAGATAAGCCCTTAGTAAAACCATGAAGGACTACACTGAGACAAGATATGGGCATATTACATTTATAAGTACTTAAGGAAAAATTATTGGCAGCTTTATTTTTTTTTAATTTTTTTAGATTTTATTTATTTATTTATTTGAGAGATTGAGAGAGTGAGCATGTTCGAAGGGAAAGGCAGAGGGAGGGGGAAAGAGAGAATCTCAAGCAGACTCCACACTGAGTTTGGACCCAAGGCGGGGCTCAATCCCATGGCCCTGAGACCCTGACCCAAGCCAAAATCAAGAGCCAGATGCTCAACTTACTGAGCCACCCAGGCGTCCCTATTGGCGATTTTATTATAACAAAAATAATACTGTTAAAAATTTAGAAAATGTAAAGTAAAAATCAGAAGCTAAAAATACCCATAATACCCCCACCCAGAGAGAACCACTATTTATATTTTGATATAGCTCCAATAACTATTAACTCAGGATCATGTGTGTTTATTTGGACCCCCACCTATGCCCTGAGACTCCTCAACAAGATCATGTCGAAGAAAGTCCCAGACATCATTTAATTTCATCATAAAAACTTCAGTATCCTTACATTTAAGGACACTTCAAATCAATATAACCTCAATATAAATATCACACCTAAAAAAATACTCTGGTGGAGGATGTTTATAATGAGAGGAGGCCATATGCGTTTGAGGCCAGAGGGCATGTTGGTTATCTCTGTTTGTACCTTCCACTCAACTGTGCTGTGAACCTCAAACTGCTCTAAAAACTAAAAATAAGTTATTAATATTATCAAAAGATGATCCACTATTCAAATTTCCCTGTGTATTCCTTTTTTTTTTTTATAAGTTGTGCTCTTGTACTTTTGAATATTGGGTGTTTGTCTTTTTCTTGTTTGTTTGCCAAGGTTTTTATATGTTAAGGGGATTAACTAAGGTGGTACTACTTACTTACTTATTATTGTTATTCCTCCAGGGAAAACCATGGAGACATCAGGACCCTCCTCCCAGACTCCAGATCATAGTCGAGTCCATGGAGAAACAGAAGATCTAGACTGTATGTTTGCCTTCTCTCACCCTCTGGGCAAAGCCACGTGGGAGGTAGAGTCCAGCAATGGGTGGAACAGAAGAAGACCTTGCTCGCCTTATGTGGCACAATGGCTCAAGTCACAGTTGAATCCTCTAGAGAAGTAATGTTTTACACACACACATTCACACACACACATGCTTGGTCCATTCTGTCCCTAGAACTTTCTAGCTTTGGGGACCTTCAGTGGCTCCCCAAATCTCAAGGGGGCTCTGGAGGCTTGGACTGGCGCTGGGGAGGGTCCTCAGAAGGCGGGAAGGTTCCTGTGCTACCCCAGATTTGGGGATGAGAAGGTTCACTTGACCAGATCATCCCTGCCCTGTAATTTAGAGTGAATCCTAAATTGACCACTATTGTATACAGTCTAGTGGCCTCTGGGCAGGATGGGGGGCTTAGAAGCCCATCTCTGGTTTCCACATTCAGAGAAATTTATGCCTTGGGCCTTCCTCGAGCCCCTGGGGCCTCTGAGAGCTTGGATCTCCTGCACCTTCCATTGGCCCTACTTGTTTGGGGAAAGTGTCCCGGAGAATCCAGTCATTCCTGGCCCCCAAGTCCAAGTAGATGCCTGGGGAAGTCTTGTTGGTCTCTGGGGTGGGAAGGGGCAAGAAACACTCATCCTTTTCTATGTGTGCCTCCCAGATGAAGAGACGGATTTCCACAAGCCAGACAGGGAGGCTGGACTCCTTTCTCATGAACAACCCAAGCAGATCAAGAGAGACAAGTCTTCTACCTCCTTCTCCTCTTCTTCCCCCTCCTCCTCTTCCTCCTCGTCATCCTCCTCTTCCTCAGGTACAGCAATATTAATATATATGTGTATATTCACAATATTATCCAAGAAAAGCATTTACATGGAAAAACAATGCCCCATAATCTCCCACCTTGATACTTTAATTCTATTTTTCCATATCCCCTTCCAGACCACATCTATCAGTACACATAACTTGTATATAGTTATAACTACCAGACAAACAATTTTGTCCTCTGTTTAAAATGTTTTGCTATCGTATCCTGGGCATTCTGACAGGTTATTCCGTAATATCTTGGCAGCTAATTTTCATGCTTACCAAAAGGTCCCTCAAGCGGCTGCATCTCATGTAAAGGAACACTGAGGTTTATCAGGAGCACTCTGGTGTTGAACTCAATGCATCTGTCTGCTCAAGCAGCCTGCCTAGGTCCAAATCCTTTTTTTGACACTCACAAGCTATGTGTCCTTGGATAAATTGCTAAACCCTATATGCCTTGGGGTCCTCATCTGGAGGTTGGGGATGATAACAGAAGTTACTACCTCATGGGATTATTGTGAGGATTACATTCTTTACACTTGTCAAGTCTTAGCACCTAGCACGTAGTAAAAGCTCTAAAAAACAAGTGTTAAGATTATCCACCAACAATGCACCCCAATGTTTATAGCAGCGATGTCTACAATAGCCAAACTGTGGAAAGAGCCCAGATGTCCATCCACAGATGAATGGATAAAGAAGATGTGGTATATATATTCAATGGAATATTATGCAGCCATCAAAAAAAAATGAAATCTTGCCATTTGCAACGACGTGGATGGAACTAGAGGGTATTATGCTAAGCGAAATAAGTCAGTCAGAGAAAGATAATTATCATATGATCTCACTGATATGAGGAATTTGAGAAACAAGACAGAGGATCATAGGGGAAGAGAGGGAAAAATGAAACAAGACAAAACCAGAGAGGGAGACAAACCATAAGAGACTCTAAATCTCAGGAAACAAACTGAGGTGGTTGCTGGAGTAGAGGGGGGGTGGGAGGGATGGGATGGCTGGGTGATGGACATTGGGGAGGGTATGTGCTATGGTGAGCACTGTGAATTGTGTAAGACTGATGAATCACAGACCTGTACCCCTGAAACAAATAACATATTATATGTTAATAAAAAAAAAAAGAAAAAAAGATTACCCTCCAACCTTCCACCAGTTTACCATGCTCATAAGCAACCTTGCTCAAAGGTTTTTACTTTTTGAATTTTTGGCACAAATTGTGTCCTCGGGATCAATTCCCCACAAGTTCTTCAGTGGGTTAACAGGAAATGAATATCTCCCATTGGGCCTTGATTACAAATCGCCATATTATTCTCTGATAGAAAGCAGAATGTCCTTTCATTTTTATTCTCTTAATTCAAAATGTTAGGCGGAATGGATAGCACCAGCAGCGTCGTGCCTGGCATTTATTGAGCACTTACTATGGGCCATGGACCGTTCCAAGTACTTTACATGTAATAACTAAGTTCGTTCTCATAGAGACCCATTGAGGAAAGTGCTATTATTATTCCCATTTTACAGGTGAAGAAACTGAGGCACGGGGAGGCTGAATGACCTGCTGTCAGAGGTCTCAGTAACCAACTCGGGATCCCTGGAGGTCTTTCCTGGGCTGGGGAGCCTAAGGGGCGGGCTTGGTCTACTCCTCCACCAGAATGCCTGCACTAAGATCTGCTTTATGGAGTGGGCTTCGGCCTGAGGTTTTATTTGGGGGAAGAATTCTCAGGCTAAATCCTAAAAAATGCTTGCAAAGCCCTGGCCTCACATCCTCACGTTACAAATGATGAGACTGAGGCTCAAGACTACAAAATCTATGCTTATTTCTCCAGACAGAGGAGAGTGAGTGATTGGTGGGTCCAGTGGGTTTATTTGTAGTCCTCATGGGACTGCCCTTATTATTTTTTTCTTTTAAAGATTTTATTTATTTCTTTGAGAGAGAGAGGGAGAGACAGAGAGCTCGAGCAGGGGGAGGGGCAGAGGAAGAGACAGAAGCAGACCCCCCTGCTGATCAGGGAGCCTAATATGGGGCTTGATCCCAGGACTCTGGGATCATGACTCAAGCCAAAGGCAGACGCTTAACCGACGGAGCCACCCAGGTACCCTGCCACTGCCCTTATTAAAAAGTACAATTGACCCTTGAACAACATGGGGTCTAGGGACCCTGACTCCCCACGCAGTTGAAAATCTGCATATAACTTTTGACTCCCCCCAAACTTAACTACTAAAGCCTTCTGTTGACTGGAAGCCTTACCGAAAACATAAACAGTGATTGCTACATATTCTGTATCTTGTCTGTATGATATATTGTATTCTTACAATAAAGTACACTAGAAAATAAAAAGTTATTAAGAAAAGGAAGAGAAAATACATTTATAGCACAGGGAGGTGAAAAATCTGCGTGTAAGTGGACCCGTGCAGTTCAAACCCGTATTGTTCAAGAGTGGACCATATATAACCCCATCCCCTGTTAGGGTTAGCCCTGGAAGAAGAGCTTCCAGGTGCAAGGGGGCTCTTGCCTGTCCTTTTGTTTCTCCTCCCTGGGTGGGAGGTGACATTCTGTCTTCTGATTGTGGTTGACCCTCAGGGGTGCTACTCCGCCACAAATGTTCTCCCCCAAGTGTGGGTATGAGCCCCTTCCTTCAGGTCTCCACAGCACACATAGGACTACCTTTAGTCAGCAAAACAGAACACCAAGAAAAAACAACAAGAAAATCAACAGAAGCACAGAGACATACTGATATCAGGATTCCAATCTCTGATCCACAATGGGTGGCCTGCTGTTAGAACTCAGACCCTGCTCATTCTTTGGGCTTAGATGGCTCCCAAGGCCCCAAGCCTGGTTGGGTAGCTCACTGCAGCCCCAGCCCTCCTCCACACTCAGGACCCGAACTCATAGTCTAGCATTCAGTACTGCTCTCCCTACATTTCTTTTTGTTTTTACTGTATCCTATTATTTTTTAATTAAAACTTTTTATTGTGAGAGGCGCCTGGGTGGCTCAGTCAGTTGGGCGGCCAACTCTTGATTTCAGCTCAGGTCATGATCTCAGGGTCGTGAGATCAAGCCCCATGTCAGGCTCTGCGCTGAGCACAGAGCCTGCTTAAGATTTTCTCTCTCCCTCTCCCTCTGTCCCTCCCCCTGCTCATGTGCACGCTCTCTCTCTCTCTCAGCAAAACAAAACAAAACAAACTTTTTATTGTGAAAGATTACACATAGGAACACTGTAGAAAATGTGGAGTATATAAGGAAGTAGAAAGAATAAGAAGATCATTCTTTGCTCTGTCACCCAGATATAACCACTAAACACATATTAGTGTGTTTCCTTACATTTATTCAATAAATATTTATTGAGCTCCAGCTATGTGCCAGGCTCTGGGATGGATATGGGGGACACCAGCAACAAACTGACTCCTTCTGCCAGGGTTAATTTTTTAAGTAACTGAATTGAGTGCACATACAAAAGTTGTCCTCTCGGGGCGCCTGGGTGGCTCAGTCGTTAAGCGTCTGCCTTCAGCTCAGGTCATGATCCCAGGGTCCTGGGATCGAGCCCCACATTGGGCTCCCTGCTCCTTGGGAAGCCTGCTTCTCCCTCTCCCACTCCCGCTGCTTGTGTTCCCTCTCTCGCTGTATCTCTCACTGTCAAATAAATAAAATCTTTAAAAAAAAACAACAAAAAAACCCCCCAAAACCCCACAAAAGTTGTCCTCGTTTTAGACAACATATAATTCTATAATGCCTTTTATAAAAAATACTCTTGATCTCAGCTCAGGTCTTGATTTCAGGGTCGTGAGTTCAAGTCCCACATTGAGCTCCATGCTGGACATGGAGCCTACTTAAAAAAAGTTATATATTATGAATATACCATAGAGAAAGCTAAAATATAATGTTCATTTGTATGTTGATGGAGGCAGAATTTGGAGTAATTTTTGCTTTCATTTTCTGCATTGTTTGATATTTTTAAAGATTTTTATTTATATTTGAGTGAGCACAAGAGAGCCTACAAGCAGGGGGAGTGGCAGGCAGAGGGTGAAGCAGGCTCCCCACTGAGCAAGGATCCTGATCCGGAACTTGATCCCAGGACTCTGGGATCATGACCTGAGCCGAAGGCAGACGCTGAGCTACCAGGCACCCGAAAAAGCCTTTTTTTTTTTTTTTAACACTGATTAATATTTATAAAATACAGAAAAAAAGAAAATAGAAGCCAACCAAAATCCTATCTTCTGAGAGAAATACTGCTGTTGTAATCTTGATGTACTTCCTGATACCTTTTTCTCTGTATCTAGCTGAGATCACATGCACTGATTTTAAAGCACAGTTAACTGGCTTCCTGGAAATTTGAAATTTATCCACGATTGAGCAGGAGTTTCCCAAGCACACTGAGGGACATTAGCCCGGGTGGGAGCCATCTTGGTCATCCTAAGGAAAAGGGAGTCCTCTGGACCTGAAACCAGGAACTTCCTGCAATGCTGACTGTCCAAGAGTGCAAATAAGTCTGTCATTCTTCAAGTCTTGATCAAGCTCCTCCTCCAGGCACCTTTCGATGAGTGAGGACCCAGGCCTTGTCCTTCAGGAGCCCAAGATGGTTGGAGAGATGAACACCACTACCACTGGCCCTCGTGCCCACCGTGTCAAGTACAGACAGTTGATACTATGGTAACCCCAGACGAGGGAGGGCCAAGATGAGCGTGAGCTGGGGCAGTTGGAAAAGACTTCCTACCCCTTAATCTTCAAGATAAAGGAGACAAATGGGAAGGGACTTCCTGGTGGGAACAAACAGAGTCAGCATGATATGGGGACACAGAGATGACACAGCCGTGGGCTTGTAATATGGTACCTTGGATGACCTTGTCTTATCTTCATGAAAGCGGCAGTGGAAATATTAAATGATTTGTTCAAGATCACACAGAAAGTTTATGGCAGATCTCCTACCCCTCCCATTCCCCAAAGACCTCTCTTTCCTCCAGACCTCCTCATATAGGCTAAATTCTGAGAACACCAGAACCAATGTATTTCAGGTTCGTTCCAGACTGAGGTTCTCCTACAGCTTGTGTTTGTTCTCTGCAGAGAGCAGTGATGAGGACCAGCACCCAGGAGTAACTGGACAGCGTCAGCAAAGCCAGGGGGCGGGACACCCCCCGGGACAGCTCACCTGGTAGGCAGTAGGCCTTGCCCTTTCTCTTTTGCCCGCCCAGCTCACCGTTGAGTTTCTCAGCGGGACCGAGCGTGCCTGCGTAAGGATGTTCCTCACGGCATTGTTTATAGTAGGGTGCCGGTAGCAAGCAGCCTAATGTCCAACACCACCAAAGTACAGCCTGTCCTGCCTACAACTCTATTCTTCACATATCTCTGAAGTGAGAAAGAAATATGTCAAATCATAAGATTCGTTTGATCTCATACATACTCTAAAAATTCACATGTATGTGGTGATGAGTACGACCGGAAGGAAAAATAGCAAAATATTTGTAGTGGTTATCTCTGGATGGTTAAATGATGGGTGATTTTTATTTTCACTCTTTTGACCTGGTCCTATACTATAACTATTATACAGTGAGCATGTTCTATTTTGACAACCAGGAGAAGAATTTTGGAAAAATAAAAATTTTAAGTAAATTGTGGCCTAAATGGATTGTAGCAAGAAAAGAGCATGGGAGAGGGGCGCCTGGGTGGCTCAGTCGTTAAGCGTCTGCCTTCCGCTCAGGTCATGATCCCAGGGTCCTGGGATCGAGCCCCGCATCGGGCTCCCTGCTCCGCGGGAAGCCTGCTTCTCCCTCTCCCACTCCCCCTGCTTGTGTTCCCTCTCTCGTGTCTCTCTCCGTCAAATAAATAAAATCTTAAAAAAAAAAAAAAAGGGCGCCTGGGTGGCTCAGTTGGTTAAGCGACTGCCTTCGGCTCAGGTCATGATCCTGAAGTCCCTGGATCGAGTCCCGCATCGGGCTCCCTGCTCGGCAGGGAGTCTGCTTCTCCCTCTGACCCTCCCCCCCTCTCATGTGCTCTCTCTCTCCTCTCATCCTCTCTCTCAAATAAATAAATAAAATCTTTAAAAAAAAAAAAAAAGAGCATTGGGGAAAGAGCCTGGATTAATGCCTAGAACGGAACCTGGCACACATGAGATGCTTAATAAATGTTGCCCTTGAAGCTGGATTTGAGTTCTGGGTTCTATTTCTGAAGATAAAAGTGATGAGGGGGCGCCTGGGTGGTGCAGTTGGTTAAGCATCCAATTCTTGCTCTCAGCTCATGTCATGATTTCATGGGTCGTGAGATGGAGCCCCACTTCCGGCTCCACGCTCAGCGGGGAGTCTGCTTTAAGATTCTCTCCCTCTGCCCCTCCCCCCACATGTGCATGTGCTTGTGCACGTTCTCTCTCTCTCTCAAATAAATAAATAAATCTTTTTAAAAAAGGGATTAGGATTGCAGGCTTGGGTGTCAGATCTGGGTTTGAACCCTGGAATTTCCACTTACTGGCTGTGTGATCTTCAGGGAATAATTTAACTTTGTGAACCTCAGTTTCCTTACCCATAAAATGGGGGAGGGAGAGGTACGAATACCTTCTTCATAGGATTTCTGTAAGGATCTAGTGAAATATTAAATATAAATTACTTAGTTCCACACTGATACCTAGTAAGTGCACAATAAATGGCAACTCTTATTACTGACTTTGAAGGAGGCCCAGGTCCACTCAGACCCTCAATTCTTTTTCAGGAAACTAACCACAGTCACCTCTGAGTGTGTGGGGGGAGTTAGAAAGGGTAAAGGGAAAGTACTTGTAAGGCTGCCTTGCCCCTTGAAGACTGCCCGGCTCACGCCCAGCACAAACAAGGACCGTGTTACTTTTTAAGGCTTCAGATGTGCAGGAGAAGGAAGCTGCCCTGGGGTGCTGTGATGGGGAGAGCTGACTAAAGGGGGTTGTCTCCACTCAGGTGCTGAGCATGAGGAGCCTGACCTTTTGACGGATGAACTTCAGCTCTATGGAGGTAAGTCATTGTCCAGTGGCTTTGACAAAAATGGAATTACACAAAGGACATGAGGGCTTTGGGCTTTGTTGGACAGAAACAAGTTCATGAGGGTGTTTCATGGCTGAAAAGTGCTAGGAAAATATAGGAGATATGGCAAGAAAAATGGTCAGAACATTGGTAAATGGGGATGAAGGCAAGCATTTTCTGCCTTGGTGAGACTGTCCCGGATTCTCTTCTGAACTATAACCTTGACTTGCAGGGCGACTTAACTCAGTCGCCCAATCTTTCTGGGCCTGAGCTTCCCAGCCAGCAAAATGAAACATGATTTGCAACCCACTGTCTTGGAATAGTGGGCTGTTTACAGGTGCACAGGAAAATTAAGGATCTCATCTCGAAAAAACTCATGTTATGGAATAATTATCTCTGGGCATCGTGATTATTATGGCAAGGAGATATAAACATTATGGCACTTTGCTTGGAAGCACTTTGATGAAATGGGGACAATTTGTAAGAATGAACCAGTTTGCCAAAAAGCCTAACAAATGCATACTGCAGTTAAGAAAACCCACTTAACTTTGTTCAATACATGGGGTATCTGGCTGGCTCAGTTAGTAGAGTGTGTGACTCTTGATCTTGGGGTTGTGAGTTCAAGCCCCATGTTGGGTGTAGAGATTACTTGAAAAAAAAAATCTTAATTTTGTTTAATCCAACATTTCTATAATCTACGTAGTCTCCTAACACCTGATAATAACCCAGGAAACAACAAGAAACACATACACATTCTAAGAAATGTAAATGAAATATTTTAATTTCTGCATCAAGATATTACCCATGGCTGCCTCTGGGTGGTAGCATTGTGAGTAATAGTTACACTGTTTTATTTGCTTAACTGAATTTTCTGATTTTCTTTCTTCCCTTTTTTTACACAAAAACAAGTATTACTTGGTTTAGAAAAATGTTTATAATTACTCAAGTAGTGTAAGAATTGTTTCACAGGGTATAAAATGAGAGAGAAACTGTTACATTTACATGTATTTAAAAATGTTTTTGGGGGCACCTGGGTGGCTCAGTCGATTAAGCCGACTGAGTTAAACTCTTGATTTCGGCTCCGGTCATGATCTCAGGGTCATGAGATCGAGCCCCACGTCTGGCTCCGTGCTCAGCGTGGAGTCTGCTTGGGATTCTCTCTCTCCCTCTCCCTCTGCTCCTCCCCCCCTTAAATAAATAAATAAGTCTTTAAAAAAATGTTTTTGGGGTGCTTGGCTGGCTCAGTCAGTGGAGCATGTGACTCTTGATCTCAGGGTTGTGAGTTCAAGCCCCACATTGGGTGTAGAGATTACTTAAAAATAAAATGGTTTTATTTCTCATCATGAAAGAAATTCATATTTAGTGTAGAAAACATAGATACCACCACAAACTTGTGAATTACTCCCCCCCACCAAGACATTGGAAGTTCTTAGTAAATTACACTCTTGGAGTCTCATTTCATGGCGTTCTAGTAGGTATGTTTTCCGTACCCTCAGCACTGGCCACTCTTAGGTCACCTGCAGATGATGCTTCCCATTTGCATATTAGCCTTAAAGACAGTCCAGCATGTTGATTGTTGTGTGCCGAGTGCCCCCTTCTGGTGTCTGTGTCCTGGGGCTGACCCAAACATTGGAAAGTATACCGGCATGGTGACTACTGGTGGTGGAGGAGGGGGCGCTACCCGGGGGTCCTGCCGGCCCTTGAGGGGAAGGATTTGACAGGCTAGGAGAGAGGTCACCAGGAACTAGAATAGGCACCAAGAATCAGGGTGAATGGGGTGGGTAGACCACCCTAGACCAGATTAACGAGGAGGCTGCGGCTTGGGACAAGTACATAGGGCTCACATCACCCTCAGCAGTGCAGACAAGGAGCTCAACACTCAGGGTGTGGGGCTGGGCTTCCCAGGATGCAGCCCGGCTCGGCTCCCACGAACTCGGCCTAGTGGGGCTGGGTCCACGTAGCTGAGGGTCACCACCTGCATCTTGCATGGTCAAGAACAGGCACAGGTCGCAAACTGGTGCCCACGTGTGTGCAGATGTGTTTTATCTGGCTCATAGAGCATTATTATTATTATTATTATTATTATTATTATTACATTTCATCAACTCATACTTTTTCACATTTAGACATCTCTGAAATCAGGATGCGTCTTAAAATCACTGGCAACTTACAATTAAAATTGGCAGTGGTTTTCCTTACATAGTAATGTATAAAATAATGTCATGTCTCACAAACGATGACATCTTTGATTCCGTGGAATCCAAGAGTTGCCAACCTTTTTTATAATCAAGAAGTTGATGTAAAAACCTGGATTTCTAGCTTTTCGTGGGAAATTGGATGACCTATAACACTAGACAGGCATTCCTACTGTGGCTGGTGGCTGGTGGCTGCCCCTTAGATGGAATAGGCTTCCAGCTTGCTCCAGTCACCACTTGGCCCACTCAGATCACATGGAAAGTCTCTGAGTGAGATCCACATTCCCCACAGTGTAACTTCTCCCCACCCAGAGGATAAGGGATATGTGATCACTGATGTTCCTTCCATGTAGGTGCCCCTGGAGAGGTGGTGCCCTCTGGAGAATCAGGTGAGTGTCCTCTTAGGGGAGAGAGGTTGTCAGTACTGATGATGGACAGGTCTGGGCACTGTCTTTCCCCTGGGAGAACCAGCTACTGCTGGGGTTCATGGGTGTGAGATGGGGACTCCAAATCCAGCTGGGGTCCTGGGACTCTGACCTGGGCTCAGAGGGTTAGAAAAGGGTTTCAAGCAAGAGGAAAAGGGATTGCAACCGGCAACTGATAGATGGAAATCTCCTTTGGGGGCTGGAGAATTTGACGTGGCTTTTTCAGAGGTCACCTACTTCCTCCACTAGGGTGCAGGCACCTGTTAAGGTCCAAGCTAGCCTGGCACTAATGTTGAGTTTCTAATCTCCAGGACTCCGAAGAAGAGGTTCTGACCCAGCAAGTGGTAAATACACAAACTCCGAGAAGAGAGAAGAGAAGAAGGAGGGGGCCTGCATTCTGGGGGATTAGGACAGGACCAGACAGCCTGAGAGGGTGGGTCAGTCACAGCAGGGATGCCGTCACCAGCCAGAGTGTCACCATGATTCTGGAAAGGGACCTCCAAGCTCAGGAGAAAGGAAACAGAATGCAGACTCAGGCCTGTGTGGAGAGGAGGGGCGGGGGGAGTGGGGGCCCCAAGGACAGATAGCCCCACCTTCACAGCTTTGCTCTGACTGGTCCTGCGCTGAGTGCCTTCTGACCCAGGAAGAAGAACCCAAGAGAGTCAGTCTCAGTGAAGCAGGGAAGAGAAAACCCCACCAGCCATCCCTCTTCCAAGTTCAACACTCATCTCTCTCTTGTTCCTAAGGAGAAGTGGAGGCCTCTGAGTTAAGAAGACTGAATATAAAGAAAGATGGTAAGGAAATTGGTGCCCCCAAGCTGCTTCTGCCTGTCTGGTCCAGATTTCTGTGGGCAGAAATTCTGCTGGTGGCCTAGAAAAACAACGATCATAGCCCACCTTGGTCGTGTGCCCTGTTTGCAGACTCCTCAGCTTAGAATCACCTCAAGAAGGTGGTACGATGACTCCCATTGCGCAGATATGGAAACTAAGGCTCAAGCATGGAGTGTGGGCTTTCAGCGAGCGAGTGGCACAACCTGGGCTTGAACCCTGGTCCTGTGCTGTTTCTGCTGTACACGGAGTCACAGGGATGATAAATGCCCCCTAGCCCTCTGGCCACAGTGGGGAGCTGGCAGGGGGGTGAGGAAGCCCTGAGGTTGGATTAGCTAGACTCTAGAGAAGGAGCCATACGAACTGGAAGGAACTCCTTCACTCTAAGCCGGGGGTCTGTGAGGGCTTCAGGGAGGAGGTCAAGGAAGGGACAGGAGACCAGGGTGTTTGATGAAACAAATGGCAGTTGTCCTAGAAACATCTGGGGTTTTTGCAAAGGCCCACCTTCAGGGAGTGGGAGACCTGGGTGTGAGCCCCTGACGCTGTCCCTCTCCAGCTAAATGAACCAGGGTTTTTGAACTTTCCTGGGCTATGAAATGTGCCTCATTTGAATAAAACTGAGATTCCCAAAGTGCAGGGCATGACATTATACCCCAGAGCAAGAAGGTGATTCCCCTCCCGCTCTCCTTCCTAGAGCACGAGCTCAGTTTGGAGCCCCTGTGCCTTTAATGCCACCCTGACCCTTATTCACTGCCCTTCGGACACAGACAGCAGAGCCACCTCTAAGCTCAGCCCCTTGACTGAGCCAAGGGCCCTGGGTCATCTCCGCAGTGACGAGCCCAGTGCCCGGCAAAGTGCCGCAGGGCCTCACTCACAGAGCACGCCTGAGCACTGGCCCATGGCGCAGGACCCACTCTCAGCGCCTCTCCCTGGAGAACCCCCCAAGCCTACATTTGCACTTCTGGGCCTGGGGCCCACAGAAAGACGTGCACCGAGATTCATGTGTATTTGTTGCAGCATCACTAAGAGCAAAAAATCAGACACTTCTAGGTTCATCAGTGGGGGACCAGACAGATCAATTGGGTTAAGTTTATACCATGGAACACTATGCAGCCATCCAAAAGAACAGGGCGATCTACATATGTTCTGAGATGGAAAGACGGCCCTGGTCGATCTATGAGAGGAAGAAAGCAAATGATAGAGCTGTAGGTGTACAAATGGGCCCTGCTTTTTTTTTTTTAATTCAAATATAATTAACATACAGTGTTATATTAGTTTCAGGTGTACAATAGAGTGATTCGATAATTCTGTACATTTCTCAGTGCTCATCATGCTAAGTGTACTCTTAATCCCCTTCACCTGTTTCACCCCTCCCCTCCCCCACCTCCCCTCTGGTGACCATCAGTGTGTTCTATTTAAGAATCCGGTTTTTTTGTTTGTCTCCCTTTTTTCTTTGTTCGTATGTTTGTATGTTTGTTTCACTCACATATGAGTGAAGTCATATGTTGTTTATCTTTCTCTGACGGACTTGGTTCACATAGCTTTATACCCTCTAAGTCCATCCATGTTGTTGCAAATGGCAAGATCTCCTTCTTTTTATGGCTGGGTAATATTCCATAATCTACACATACCACATCTTTGTTATCCATTCATCCATTGATGGGCACTTGGGTTGCTTCCATAATTTGGCTGTTATAAAGTTACAATAGACATAGGGGTGCATATATCTTTTCGAATTAGTGTTTTCTTTTTATTTGAGTAAACACCCAGTAGTGGAATTACTGGATTGTATGGTAATTCTATTTTTAATTTTTTGAGGAACCTCCATAATTGGCTTTCCACAGTGGCTACACCAATTTTCATTCCCAACAACAGTACGTGAGGGTTCCTTTTTCTCTACACCCCTGCCAACAGTTGTTATTTCTTGTCTTTTTAATTTTAGCCATTCTGACAGGTGTGAGGTGATATCTCACTGTGGCTTTCATTTGCATTTCCCTGATGATGAGTGATGTTGAGCATCTTTTCATGTGTCTATTGGCCATCTGGATGTCTTCTTTGGAAAAATGTCTGTTCATGTCTTTTGTGCATTTTTAATTGGATTATTATTATTATTATTGGTGTTAGGTTATATAAGTTTTTTATATACTTTGGATATTAACCCCTTATCAGATATATCATTTGCAAAATCTCCTCCCATTTACTAGGTTGCCCTTTTGTTTTGTTGATGGTTTCCTTCACTGTGCAGAAGCTTTTCATTTTGGTGTAGTCCCATTTGTTTAATTTTGCTTTTGTTTTCCTTGCCTCAGGAGACATATCTAGAAAGAAGTTGTTACAGCTGATGTCAAAGAAATTACTGTCTATGTTTTCTTCTAGGAATTTTGTGGTTTCCTTTCTCACATTTCGTTCTTTCATCCATTCTGAAGTTATTTTTGTGTATGGTGTAAGAAAGTGGTCCAGTTTCATTCTTTTGCATGTAGCTGTCCAGTTTTCCCAACACCTTTTGTTGAAGAGACTGTCTTTTTTCCATTGGATAGTCTTGCCTCCTTTGTTGACGATTAATTGACCATAAAAGCATGGCTTTATTTCTGGACTATCTATTCTGTTCTATTGATCTGTGTGTCTATTTTTGTGCCAGAACCATAATGTTTTGATTACTACAGCTTTGTAGTATATCTTTATATCTGGAATTGTGATACCTCCCTGCTTTTGGGTTTTTTTTTAAATGTGCATATATATGCCTGGAAAGGTTTTGGCAATCACCGCTTGCTTTTAAGGAGGGGGGTTAGGGAGGGAAAATGGGGCATTGTGAAACTTTTAGACGTGACACATTTGCATTTTTTACTGCATTTAATATTCATTTGACAAACAAAAATATTGGGCAGCTCTGCAAGCCTGGCATTGCTTTAGCGTCTTAGCAAAATCCCTACCCTCCACCCTACTGAGAGGGACAGAGAATAAATCTGTTTCACATTTTTTTCTTTGTTTTTTGAGAATAAGTGTGGAAATAAAAATATAACAAGTTGAGGGGTGTCAGTGTTAGAAAAATAATAAAATGAGATAAAGCCTGGAAATGGGGTGTTTTTTTAGTTGGGTTGCTCAGGAGCAGCTTCTCTGAATAAAGTTACATTGGAGCAGAGACAGGACTACTTTTAGTAACCAAAAAAAAGAGAGAGAGAAAGAAGCAAATAGTAATTCCTCGCCTTTGCCTTTACAGATGAGTTTTTCCATTTTGTCCTGCTCTGCTTTGCCATTGGGACCTTGCTGGTGTGTTATCACTATTACGCAGGTGAGGGCCGTGGGAACAGGTTGGGGGATAGGAGGGGCCAGACTTGCAGGCTGACCATTCTCTCCCTCGCTGCCCTTGAAGACTGGTTCATGTCCCTTGGGGTCGGCCTACTCACCTTCGCCTCCCTGGAGACAGTCGGCATCTACTTTGGGCTGGGTAAGGTCCCCCCGCCCCCAGACTCTTTAGGGGTGGTGGCTGGACCGCCACAGATGCCCACTAAGGGCCAGAAAGCCACCACCTAAACATTTTTTAAAGATTTCCTTATGCTCGTGTTTTCTTCCTAACCACTTTCAAGGTCACGGTGAGGTCATTGGCAAAACCCCATGGAAAAAATGGGCAGTTCCACAAAACTGCAACAAAAACAGTTTAAAGTGGCAAACAAACAGAATTAGCCAGAGATCGAAAACAAGGCAGTTCACGGAGTGGGGTACTGAATTCACTGAATTTCCTGGCACTGTTATTGCTGCTCGAGGTCATTGTTTTTAATAATAATAACTCCAGTACTATTATCTAAGCTCAACCTGCTGCCTGAAATTCCACCACTAATCCCTGTTTGTGTGGGTTAGGCCTTTAATGGGGGGGGGGGGGCGGTAGGGGGGGTGACCCTGGGTCCCTTGCTGGGGCACAAAGCTCAAGCTCCTTTCTCTCTGTTTGTGAGCAGTGTACCGGATCCACAGCGTCCTGCACGGCTTCATCCCCCTCTTTCAGAAGCTTAGGCTGATGGGTAATGTTTCCATCCTTCCTATGTTCACCATCTTCCTCCCTATCAGGGTCTTTGGTTGCAAACGGGGCTTAGCCTATAGGAAACAGCAGGGCCTGGAGTCAGGGGCCCCTGCCAATTCACCAGCTTTGGGGCCCAGGATCATCTTTCAGCCTCCGTTTCCTCCACTGGACCGTGGGTGTAGTAATACCCACTGCACAAGGGTGTTAGGCAAAACCACATGAGGAACGGATGCGAAAGTCCTTAAGTGTGGAACACTGTAGAAAAGGGAAGGGAATCTGGGTGTTCCTCATTCTCTCATAGAACTTTACATTTACCCAAACACCAGTTTTGCCGGGATTTTATCTGCCTATTAGGTGTACTTCAGTTATGGTGCACGTGACCGATGAAGGAATTGAGGCCCAGAGAGGTGGAGTGACTTGCCGAGGGTCACACAGCTCGTGTGGCTGGGCTGGGCTAAAGGAGATCCTCTTTCTTTCTGACCAGCTGCCTCCCATGATGTCTCAAAACTGAGAGGCCAGGGGGCTGTGTGGCTCTGTGCTGGGGATATCTGTCTCCTACAGCCCATTTAATTCATAAAGGGGAAATTCGTTGCAGTGGCTGTGGGTCATGGAGACCCGTGGCTCTAGGGTGACATTATCCCAGCTGCGAGGAGGATTTGGGCATCTGGGGGGATGGTGGAAATGAGGCCTGGCTGAATCCCATGCCATCCTGCGGGGCTTTGCTTTCCAGGATTCAGGAAGACCGACTGAGGCCAGTGCTGGGCCGGCAGCCACGCTGGGCCCCAGTATGACCACCACTGCATCTCCTGGATGTGCCAGGGCAGAGCCCCGTTCTGGGAGACACGCGGGCGGGCCAGTCTAGAGCAATAAAGAGAGCACTTTTCCTTCCGTGTAGTCTGAACGTTGGCACCAGCCTGGACCTGGGTATCATTTGGGCAGTATTGGCATGCAGTCCAGCTGCCAGGATGGAAAGCAGAGGCAAGGTGCCAGGCCTATGCCCTTTGCGGTTCCTGGATCAGCAGGATTCTAGGATGTCACTGCTCTCAGGAGACAGTAGGAGACCCCTGGGCCCTGCAAGCTGTCATCTGTGTGGGCTCCTGATTCCTCTCAAATCCCCAGGCCATCCAGGTGGGGTGAGAGAGGGAAGAGAGCCCACTGCCCCGCGGCAGGGAGCCATCATGCCAGGCCCCCAGGGTGAACCTGATACAGGCGAGCTGCTGGGGACTAAAGCCACAGCATCTAGGCATCTTCTCTAGCCCCATTGCCTAGTGCCAGCCCCGCTGCCTTGGATTCCATCAAGATTCAAATAAACGTTTTCTTCCCTCGACTAAAAAGAGTCAGCTAAATGTTCCTTCAAGTTTCTTGAGCATGAGAACACATTTGGAGTCTCCTTTGACCCCATCTAGTCAGGGAGGACACCTTGTCTATTGGATAAAGTATAAAAGGGAATAAATGTACAGCCCCTCACATAAGGTCCAAGACTCAAATTGCACAAGTTCAGAAAGAGGGTTTTGCATACTTTCCTATGAAAAGATCTGGGGCTGCTAGGTGCTCTAAGCCCAACAAATACCAAAGGAGTGAAATAGAAGCACACATACACAAAAATCCCTTGCAAAATTGGGTTGCATAAATGGAGGTACAGAGTCTAGATTGAAGGAGGTGATAGTACACCCTACTTTACACAGCTATTCCACACCAACGCACATACTCAGTTCTAGATTCACATCTCAAGAGCAATAGTGACAAACTAGAAAACATACAGAAGAGACCAGAGTGGGAATAGAAAGAATGATTGAAGAAACGAGAACTCTTCAATTTACAGAAGAGAAAAGTGGGGCTTTCCCTGAGCTCACAGATTCTTGGAGGATACTTTCTCAAGTGCTTATGATGGTCCAAGTACAGTCACATATGTTATCTGATTTAATTCTCACAGCAGCCTTGAGATGTGTCAGTCATCCTCATTTTGCAGATGGAGAAAGAGACTCAAAGAGCTTTAGTAACTTCTCAAGTTCCCACAGCAAAGCAAGTGGCACAGCCTCCATCTGAACCCAAGCTTAAGCTCTCCTTATGCCAAGCTGCCTTACAGAGCTTGGCCAGTCTAGGCCCCCACTCCAGGCAAAGCAGCCCCAAGGCAGCTGTACTTTTTCCCAGACTTTGGGATTTCTGAGTTAGAGAGTATTTTTTTTCTTTTTTTTTTTTTTAAGATTTTATTTATTTATTCATAAGAGACAGAGAGAGAGAGGCAGAGGGAGAAGCAGGCTCCCCGCTGAGCAGGGAGCCCGATGTGGGACTCGATCCCAGGACCCTGGGATCATGACCTGAGCCAAAGGCAGACGCTCAACCATCTGAGCCACCCAGGTGCCCAGAGAGTATTGTTTTAAGAAATGAGAGGAAGGGGGCGCCTGGCTGGCTCAGTTGGTGGAGCATGTGACTCTTGATCTTGATCTTGGGGTTGTAAGTTCAAGTCCTGTGTTAGGTGTAGAGATTACTTAAAAATAAGATTTTTAAAAATAAATAAATAAAATAGGGGCACCTGGGTGGCTCAGTCAGTTAAGTGGCCGACTCTTAATTTCGACCACTTAGGGTCCTGAAATTGAGCCCTGCGTTCGGCTCCACGTTTGAGGGATGGTGCGGAGCCTGCTTGAGATTCTCTCTCTCCCTCTGCCCCTCCCCAACCCCCACTTGCATGTTTGCATGCACTCTCTCTCATAAATAAATAAGTAAATAAGTAAATAAATAATAAATAAAATTAAAAAGTTAGAGGAGGGCTGCCAACTCTTTCCCTTGCTAATTGGAGACAATAAAAATAACAAAAACCATCAACTATCAGCATCATTTTATAAAAGAAAAAATAGTTTTACACCAAAAAAGCAGGGAAATTATCAGCAGAAACAAAAGAGGGTTTTACATGAACAAAGCTTGGGGCGCCTGGGTGGCTCAGTCGTTAAGCGTCTGCCTTCAGCTCAGGTCATGATCCCAGAGTCCTGGGATCGAGCCCCCGCATCGAGCCCCCGCATCGAGCCCCCGCATCGAGCCCCCGCATCGAGCCCCCGCATCGAGCCCCGCATGGGGCTCCCCGCTCAGCGGGAAGCCTGCTTCTCCCTCTCCCACTCCCCCTGCTTGTGTTCCTTCTCTTGCTGTGTCTCTCTCTGTCAAATAAGTAAATAAGATCTTTAAAAAAATAAATAAATGAAAAAAGCTTTATGAAAATTTTACTGCGTGTCCTTTTTCCTCAAATCCACCATAGTCTGGTGAAAAAAAAATCATCATTCAGAAACCACGGAACTGGAGAATTTCCAAGGACTTTTACATTCTCTTTTTCTACTCTCGCTCTAAGACACCTCTCTCAATGACGCTTACGGCATTATTTCAGAAGAATAGTGACGTCCAAGGAGGGAATGTTCTTGGTAGTCACGACTGTGCTGTCTCAACATTTAGCTCCGAGCCCAGCCCTGACATGGATGCCCGTGGCACAGTTCTCTGCCTTTGCTCCTCTTCCTCAAGATTGTTTTGTTGTTCTGGGTCCCTTGCATTTCCACACTGAGTTTTAGGAGCAGCTCATCAACTTCACAAAGAAGCCAGTGGGAATTGTGATACGACTGCATTGCATCTGTAGATAAATTTGAAGAGTATGGTGCTTCTTTTTTTAGTGATTTATTACCTTTTTAACATTTACATTAGAAAAAAAAATTTTGCACCAAATCCTAGCACCCAAAATCAACCACAGTTAGGTATTTGGGTGTGTTTCCTGTGAGTCTTTAGTGCATGAGGTATTTATTTTTATTTTGGGCCCTTTTCTCTTGCACATAGAATAAGGATTTTTCCATTATATAATAAGGATATTTCCATAAGCATCATTTCCCACCCACTGTGCTTTTCATGCTTTGCATAATAATCCCTGCAGATCCAGGTAATAATATCAATGGATAATATCTGTTCAGCACTTCTTATGTGCTGGCTGTGGGGCTAAGCGCTTTGTGGACACCCTATCGTTCTTCTTCATTGAAAGCCTGTGAGGTAGCATCTGTCATGATCTCCATTTGATAGATGAGAAAACGAAGACACAGAAAGCTAGGTCAGGTATTTATCAAACAGGAATAGAACGTAAGTTTTCATGATAGAAAAGCGAACTTACGGACTCAAGGACAGTGTGGTTAGCCTCATTTTGTGAGAATGCGGGGTCCCTGTGGCTGGCTCTGCCACTGCCTGGCTGGGATTTTGGCCAAGTCCTTCTCTGTCTCGGCCTCAGTGTCCTCGTCTGTACAATGGGGATCACAGTGGCCCCCACCTCACAGTGTTGTGGCAAGGACTACATAAGATAATTGCATGAAGTCTTTATTTTTAAATGGCGGGGGGGAATTGGAGGGAGAGATGAACCATGAGAGACTATGGACCTGAGAAACAAACAGGGTTTTAGAGGGGAGGGGGGAGGGGGGATTGGTTAGCCCGGCGATGGGTATTAAAGGGGGCACGTACTGCATGGAGCACTGGGTGCTCCATGGTGGAAAACAATGGATCGTGGATCACCACATCAAAAACCAATGATGAATTGTATGGTGACTAACATAACATAATAAAATTAAAAAAAAAAAAGAAGACGTCTTTATTTTTAAAGAGTCATCCATACAGATTGTTATTAGATGTCTAGTTTTATGTCTCACTTACTAAAACCCTCTTATTGCCGAATTTGCTTTCAGGTTTGTATTCTCTTATTTGAAAGCAATCCTTTTTGTGTGTTTGTTTTTGTGTCTGCTTTTATTATTTGAGTATAGTTGATGTATAAAGTCTTATACACGGACTCTGGTACATAGTAGGCGCTCAGTAAGAGCATCTTCTTGGAAGGTACTTGATCAGAGCAGGGGCGCACATCTGATCTCATAAGTCAGGCAGGCCAAGTCAGCCAGAGGTAGAAAAACGGGGAGTCAGGAGGGGGGACCAGGCAAGCTGACACCTGACTGAAGGGGTCAGCTGCTGTCCAGCATCGCCAGACAGGAAGAGCAACCCGCGGCTACCAGCCAGAGCCAGCCAGGAAAATGGAACCCCACCAGGGGTTTCAACAGAGAACTCTAACACAGGGGATATGTTAAACAGGCCCAGGAGGATTGAGAAGGCAAAAGGGGTCACTGAGGTATCACGGAGCCTACCTAGGGCTGGGGAACAAAGGAAAGAGGTTTGAGTTCCCAGCCCTGTGAGGAGGGGGACAGCTTGGGGGGGCTGGTGTCTCTCCTGGGGGCCCAGTGGGGCTGGTATAAGACCAGTGATGTCAGACCTCAAATCTCTCAACAGAAGCCAGATTTTCTTTGATGTTGGCAACTAGTTTTTTTAAATTTCAAATTCTGCTGTGAAAAATGGTTCCTCAAAAAATTAAAAGTATTATTACCATATGATCCAGCAAGGCCACTCTGGGGCATATACCCCAAAGAATTGAAAGCAGGGATTCAAAGAGATATTTGCACACAGCCTTTTAGATTTTTAGACCACACATTGGACGGGAATCTACTTGATGCCTGAGCTGTAACCAGACCCTGGGCTGGCACTGGCCTTGAGCTCTAGCTGGGCAGAAGAGCCATGAGAAGGTCCAAAGGCAGTGCTGGGGCTGGGGCCCTAGGGAGGTAGCACAATAGGGCAGATGGACGCTCCACTGAGCTCCAGAGGCGGGGGGGGGGGGGGCTTTCTTTCAGGGCATGGGGGGCTCCTACAACCTGATCCACCTGAGCCCCTCCTTTGACAACTGGGGCTCAGAGAGGCCAAAGTTATTCGCAATTCTAAAAGGTAGAAGCAACCCAAGGGGCCACCAGTGGATGAAGGGATAAACAAAATGTGGTCTATCCATAAATGGAATATTATTCAGCCTTAAAAAGGAAGGAAATTCTGACACATGCTACCACATGGATGAACCTTAAGAACATTATGCTCAGTGAAATCTACCAGTCATAAAAGGACAAATATTGTATGATTCCACTTAGATGAGGTCTCTAGAGTTGTCAGATTTATAGAGACAGAAAGTAGAAAGGCCAATGCCAGGGGCTGGCTGGGGGAGGGGAATGGGAAATTCCTGTTTGGTGGGTACAGTTTGGGTTGGGGAAGATGAGAAAGTTCTGGGGATGGATGGTGGGGCTGGTTGCATGGCACGTAAAGGTGTTCAGGGTCACTGAACTGTACACTTAAAAATGGTTAAGATGGTAAATTTTATGTTATGTGTATCTTACCACAATTTTTTAAAAAAAATTCAAATTATCTGTGGCCAAACAAAACTGGATCCAGCCTGCAGGCCATCTGCGTTGGGGGGCTCTCCATGGTGTGAAGCTGGAGATGCACACAGAACGGGAGAGAAAGCCAGAGCAAGAACAAGGACACAATCATTTCTGCTCCACATTCCAATTTTGGGCAGCCTGACCACACTGTGGGGACATGAGTTCAGTCCCTGGTCTGCCTCTGGTAACTTTGGCCTCTCTGAGCCCCAGTTGTCAAAGGAGGGGCTCAGGTGGATCAGGTTGTAGGAGCCCCCCATGCCCTGAAAGAAAGCCCCCCCCCCCCCCCGCCTCTGGAGCTCAGTGGAGCGTCCATCTGCCCTAGTGTGCTACCTCCCTGGGGTCCCAGCCCCAGCACTGCCTTTGGACCTTCTCATGGCTCTTCTGCCCAGCTAGAGCTCAAGGCCAGTGCCAGCCCAGGGTCTGGTTACAGCTCAGGCATCAAGCAGATTCCCGTCCAATGTGTGGTCTAAAAATAAACCATTACATCCTAAGTCCAGGAAGGCAGGATTGCAAGTGGGGGAGGGAGGGAGAAAGCCCTTGGATCGGGGTGGACTTCAATCTCTGGCTGCCCTGGATTCCGTGCAGTGGGTTTCTGTTGTAAGCACTGGGGAGAAGATGGGGGTATGAGAAGATCTTGAGGCCATATGAGCCAGCTTGCTCTGGGCAGGTAGAAGTGAAGCCCAAAAGGACGGTGGTAGCTGTTCGCCCCCTTCTTCTGACACAGCCACAAGAATCCCCCGTCTACTCCAGAGAGTGTGAGCCTGGACCCGAGACAGAGCCAAGGATGCTGCCGACTGAACCTGGGAAGCTGGAGAAAGCACTTGACATTGAGCTAGGCTGTGATGGGAGAGATGTATGGAAGGGCTTTCCAGGCAGAGGGCACAATGCAGGCAAAGGCATAGGGGAGTAAAAGAGGATATACATCTAGGAAGCAACAGGTAGTCAGTTCAGTGTGGTTGAGGCCTATAGGCTGTGCATGAGAGTGAGGATTAGTGGGCTGTGGAGCACACAAGGTTAATTGTCCCCTTTCCCCCAACAGGACTTTGAGAGCCAGGATAAGGATTTGGGGATTTTTAAGGATTTAGCCTAAGGACACTAGGGAGCCATGGAAGGTGTTTGAGCTGAGGAATGTCACAGTGAGATTGCATTTTAGAAGATCACTCTGGCACCTCTGTGGTGGTTGTGGGGTTCAAGAAAATGAGCCTCACAGACTTTGAACTTCAGGGACTGTAACTGACCAAGGGCTGCTGTGCTTTGTGCACTGAGGCCATGCTTCCCATGGGGTGCTCCCAGCCAATGACTTAACACAAGGGGTCTACTAAGGCAGGCCCCTTCCTGGGAGACACAGGACTACCTGACACCTACCAGACCTTCCTTAGACAACCTGGCAGACTAGCTCCTTCCACCCAACCTCCCTTCCCTCTCTTATTCACCTGGGGCTAGATGTACATCACAGCCCGACAGCTCTCCCAGCCTTCTGCTCCCTCCGAGTTTCCTCTCACACAGGTGTTTCACCTAATAAAATCCTTCCATAGTTTATCCTGTCCTGGTACTAGCTTCTCAGAGGGCCCAGACTAACAGGGTGAGACTAGAGGCAGGGGGTATCTGTGGCCACAGGAACAGAGAGAAGGGGTGAATTTGAAGACATTTTATTTATTTATTTTTTTAAAGATTTTATTTATTTATTTGAGACAGAGGGAATGAGAGAGACGGAGAGCACATGAGAGGGGGGAGGGTCAGAGGGAGAAGCAGGCTCCCCGCCGAGCAGGGAGCCCGATGTGGGACTCGATCCCGGGACTCCAGGATCATGACCTGAGCCGAAGGCAGTTGCTTAACCAACTGAGCCACCCAGGCGCCCCTTGAAGACATTTTAAAGGGCTAAGCCACAGGATGTCTTCAACTGCACGCACACCCTCAGCCCCCCTGGGCTTTCCTTAGGGTTGTAGCTCTTGACACCCAGCATGAGGATGGTCTATATCCATATTTGTCTCCCCCACTAGATTCTGAGTTTGTCCAATAAATAAATGAATGAGTGCATGAGTGAATGAATGAATGGATAGATGGATGAAGTGAAGGAAAAAGGAGAATCTCAGACGATCCTGGAGCTCTGGTTTGGGCCCCTTAGTGGATTGTTGTAGCTGATATTTGCTATTTGTCCCCCTGGTGTTTTTTGCCACTCCAATTTTCCTTTGAAGAATAAACCTACACCCTTTTGTGCACCAAAGGACACTATCAAGAGAGTGGAAAGACAGCCCATGGAATGGGAGAAAGTATTTGCAAATCACATACCCAATAAGGGGTTAAATACCCAGAATATGTAAAGAACTCCTACAACTCAACAACCACAAACACCCAATAAAAAATGGGAAGGAAAAAAGGCAAAGGCATTAAATAGACATTTCTCCAAAGAAGATACATACAAATGGTCAATAAGCACAGGAAAAGGTACTCAATATCTTTAGTCATTAGGGAGTTGAAAATCAAAACCACAATGAGATATCACTTCACAACCATTAAAATGGTTGTTATATTTAAAAC